GAAAAAACATTAACAACTTGAGATATGCTGATGATACGGTCCTGATTGCTGAGTCAGAACAAAAGTTACAAGAGATACTAGACAAAGTGGTTGAATCCAGCAAAAAGAAAGGGCTCACCATCAACAGTAAGAAGATAGAATGTATGGTAATCAGCAAACAAAGAACAGCTAAACATTGTAAGATATTGATTAACAACATCCTAATAAAACATGTACAGAAATTCAACTATCTTGGCAGCATGATAACTGAAGATGGCAAATGTGACCAAGAAATTAGAAGACGTATTGGAATGGCAAAAGCTGCATTTGAAAAACTGGGCAGCATAATAAAGAACAACAAAATTTCTATGACGACAAAGATCAGAATGTTGAATTGTTAAGTGTTTTCCATTCTCACTTATGGGAGCGAATGCTGAACTACATCCCAAGGTATAGAACAACGAATAGAAGCGGCAGAGATGTGGTTTCTCAGGAAAATGATGAGAATATCTTGGACAGAGAGAATGACAAATCAGGAAGTGTTGGAGAGAGCAGGAACAAAGCGTTTCCTTCTAAAAAGCAAACGAAAGAGACAGTTGGAATTTTTGGGACACGTAACGCGGAAGGAAGAGCTGGAACATCTTAGTGTGACAGGTAAGATCAATGGAAAGCGAAGCAGGGGCAGGCAAAGATTAACATACACAGCAAGCATAAGAAGATGGACAGGAAAAGCGGAGCTAGACCTGTTGAAGACCACAAAGGACAGGAAGAGGTGGAAGTCCATGATCGCCAACGTCCTAATGGGACAAGGCACTTGAGAGAGAGATCTTGTGCAAGAAACGTGTAATTAAGTTTCTGTGGGAAAAAAAACTTTGTTCAGCCAGTGCAACGTATGGTGCTGTTGCGACGCAGGTGTAGGTCTTTATCATTGTTAATGAAGATCCTTTGGTGTTTTTCTCTAGTTGATACCGTGCAATCTTACATTTATTTTAAAGGGTCGTTCCTGTATGCCAACTGTTCACATTGCACCAGATTTTTTGGAACTCTGCAAAAATTACTTTCAAGCAAATTGCTAGTGTTTTAGATAAACTTGTGGATTGCGTGGCTTTTGTTTTAATTTTAACATTCTAAGGAACTCGCTCGTGATTTCAGTTGGCATAGTTGTCGTGAATAATATATATGTGTATACACAGTCTATGATATTGAGCTTAACCCTTTTTGTGGTAAGCTACCTTTCAAAGCTGTCGTCTTCGAGACCAAGTGCTTGTTATCACTGTTATTTTGACGAGGTACTTTTCAAAGTGCATATTTCTGATGTCTTTTAAAAAAAAAATCTTTAAAAATAAACATGTCTTTTACATTTTTAAAACGTTATCTTAAACATTTAAAAACATTTTCTAAAGTATTCACAAAACGTTCAAAGTGCCTTTGCTGGTCCAATCATTTCTGCAGAGACCATAACGGCTAAAATAGAAATAATGCCGTTGACCATAGAAGATCACTTTCCTTTCATGTTTTCTATACGATTATTTTGAGAACAAAGCAAAACAGTTTTTGTATTTACGTTTTTCTGCTTTCCAAAATGTGCATATTGGACTTACAAACTTAACTGGCTTAAATGATTAACTAGCAAAATCATTTCATTAAAACTGGTATTAAACATGGATTAAGTGCAGAGATGGATCAACCATTTTTTAATTTTTAATTCCACATAATTTCGTTATTTTAGTTTGACTATTTTCAATCTTTTTAAGTTTTCTGTTTTTAAATACATTGGTATAGTTAACATTTGCATGACTTAACTGTTTCTAATGGCATCAGCGATGATAAAAACACTGCAGCTAAAATCTCAAAGAGATCCGTGAAAAACAGTTATAATAATATTTCGTTACCAGAGGATAATACGTTATCTCATGTTCTACACAAGGCGTAGATTGAATTAAGATAAAATGCAACTTTTTGTCTCGACATGGATCCTTTTAACTGATAAAATATAACTTACCAGACAAGATACTGTGCGACTGCATGCCTCTAAGTAGGAGCAGTTCGGGTCACTCAACAGGAACTCCGCCTGAACGTCGGAACAGTTGAAATTGGTAAGAGCACAAGTCTTTGTATTACCGCAGTAATATGCACCTAGGCAGCTTGTATGCCCCAGACAGTGGAGTGCGCACTCCTCTTTAGACAAAGAACATGTCGTCTGAAGAATCAAATTTTCAATAAATTTCGTCTGAGGCTGAACCCGAAACCATAAAGATGAAGAATTCGACACGCCAAACCATATCATAAGTAGAGCACATTCTGACAAAAGGACAGTCACTATATTCTTCGTTGACATCTCCAAGCTACTTTTTGAATTCTTCAATATCTCTCACGTGAAATGTGTTCACAGCATCTATTGTTACACCAACCGCTGCAGACTGCAAGCTCGTTTTCAGTTATTAGTGTTTTGGTTGGCTTCACCTGACTTCCTCAGTGAGAGATTAATCTGAAGCGTCCTTTTTTTTTGTAACACTGAAACGCTGTTTATTGTGTACTGTGCCACTGACAAAAATTAAAAATTGATATGGCACTTAGTAAAGATTAAACCATTCACTGTAATTGTAATATGAAATCATCTTTCTTGTGTGTTAATTGTAGTTTTGATTGATTGAGTTTACTGAGATTAATCATTTCAAACAGATGGGGTTTTGAAAATTTGATGTTTGTTACTGTCAGTTACAGGAGAATATTAAACCAGTGCAAATCAGTATCAAGTGAAATGTATATACGAAAAATTAGAATTAGAAAAAACGAAAGGAAAGAAGCAATACTGAAAATTTATCTGTGATAAAATTCTATTGCTTAAAAAGGACCCCCTAATACCTCTTCCCACCTATTATAATATGTTTACAAAAATAGAAATAACATATTAGCAAAAAATAATCTGACTTTCAGTGACATAAAATCACCTTCGAGATCTATCGTCTCATAGACGTGTGTCTTTCTCCTGGCCCTAAATAATCCCTGAAACGCTTTCGTCATTAAAAAATATTTGCTTTATTATCGTGCGTGCAAACCGCTTATGACTAACTACCTCTGCAGATTTCTCATTTAACATTTATTACTTCATTTGATGTAAAATATTGTCTTGCGGAGGAGCCACGTTACTGTCTACTAGCTGATTCCCGTTACATCAATCACTGAACCATGATAAGAGATTGGTATACATGATTTGTAGAATCTTTTTTATGTAATATAATCTGTGTGAAAGTCTTATTTCCACACTTGCCCTTATTATTAATAATAATAATGATAATTAAAAAAATATATAAGAAAATAACGGGACTGAGTGGAAATCGTACCAATGACGATTAGCCCAGGACGTTACCACCCGGCCAGCAAAACCTGCTTTGTGATGTCAATATATAATACCAGTACACATGTCGAAGTTTAACGGAAACTGCCGAAGGCTAGAAATACCTTCAAAATATACTTTTAACAGTTTTAATCAAATTCAAATCATGGCCACTATCTTCCCACTGCTCTAACATATTGCTAACACCTGTCAGTTGTCAACAGATCGTTGTAGAATGGGAGAAAAACGTGAAAAGGAGACTTCGGCTGATCTGTTTTTACTTTATAGGGTATGGCGCTTGCCTACAGATCAATTTGCTGTGGTAGGCAGCTCACTCGTAAATTACTTGGCCAATTAACATGTTCATTATGCTGTTAACAATCCAAAGACCCCATTGGGATGTGCTCTGGGCCAAGTCCTAATTGGGTTGTAGTGTGGGTCATTTAGAAAGTAGATTACATTGGGTTCTGGCCTGTGACACACACACACACACACACACACACACACACACACGTCAAACAGGGCGTTACGTCTATTGTTTGCTCATGTCGATAGCAATTTCTTTCCATTAGCGACAAAAGAAAACTGACGTGAGTCATTTTAGGAGCCGAGTGTGTTCGTTGGACCGACTGATTTGATTGTTCGAAAAGGATTATTGCCAATGCTCCTACCCTGTAATTATCGTGCATGCTCTATTGTCCGACCATGCGGTGCAGGGGTAGGAGTCCATGCGGCCTATTGGTAAGGTTAGATTCCAGCGGCACTGTACTACAACCTGTAGTACAGGTTACACCGCCAACCCCTTATCACCGTACAGTAGAGCCTTTGATGTCGATATTTGATTGCGTTGTCTCAACCAGATTTCTTGTTTTAATCTCCCCTACCACATTCACGATCAGTCGGTGTGTGAAGTCGAATTCTGTGCCTCAAATAAGAAATCACTAGAAGCCACTATATGCATCTGAAATAGTGTCCTCAAATATATTAAGAATGTGGATTTCTTTCGTTTCACGGCGTTACATGTATTAATATTGTTAATGTGTTATATTCAATGGGTTTAGGGTGTTAATGAGAACATCTGTGTCTGAATTTATATTTATAACCCTTGAATTGGTAAACTGGTTTGTTTTCCACCCAAACATGTGCAAGTTACTTAACATATGGCGGTAGGAATGGATCCCACATGAAGGATATTGGAGCATAGGACGGCCCAGATATATCCATGCAGTGCATTTACCGGATTTGGGGCTGTGTTGGAGATAACGTCTACAAAAAACTAATGCGGCATTTGTCCAGTCGATCAGTTATATAACTGTGTCTGACGATTTCTGGAAATTTAGTCCCAACAATATAAACATCACAAATAATGTAGCGGTATGGTTCCGCCATATTTTACATGTGCGGGTTACAAGAAACGGTAGAAATCACATTACAATTTGAGGGTAAATACATTGTCTATTCTTTTTATTCTGTGTGTGTAAGAGCTGGCTTGGTCCGTTTTTAAAGATTATTGTTTTTCTTTTGTTATTTTCTTTTGTCTTTTGATACACGACCTGAATTTTATGCAAATAACCACGACGGATAACCACGCCATTTGGAATAAAAAGCAAAAAAATTATTGAAAGTACATTTTTTATTTCAATAAACACGTGAAATTAGAGGAAACTAAAATCGCAGAATGAGATTGTGAATGCGGCCAAATAGTGATCTGGTTAGAAATGTCTTCTTTACAGATGGGCGGTGTAACATAGAAAAATGGCGAAGAGAGCAGCAGTGTTGACCTTAGAAAAAGTATCTGTAGGCAAATTTGACAGCAGGAAGCAAAAAAAAACCTTGATCTCATAAGGTAATTTGACAACAAAAACAGCATCGGAAGAAATCTCGTAAAATATATTGAAAGCGTAAAACATGATACAACTATCCATGTTGCCGTTTAAGTATGATGACGATTCCGTATTTTCTCTACAACTAATCCATTTGAAATGTTTTAACCAGAGCTCGTTGAAAAAATTCCTAGAGTTATTTGGCCTTTTTGTTTTGTTTTCTCTCAGTCGGTCTGTAAGCCGGAGTCAACAAGAAGCTTACTTCACCAACCATACAGTTTTTTAATATATAAGGTACGAATAAAATGAGACACAGAAAGATTGTATTATTGTGCTAATATTGATTCCTTCCCATGCGAATTATATCCTGTAGGCCTATATATTTTCAGTATGCGTCGTTGTCTAGGTTTCTTCTGTTTCACATATAAAGTTAATACTATCACTGCATTGAATGTCATCAAAAAGCTTGGTGACTTTATAGTATTGTACACAGTCTTGATTCCCCCTATTGTTATTTGGTTCACCTGGAATGGAAATTACTCGTGGAAAATTGATTCTTCTTATGCAAATAAAATCAACATCAGGTCATTTCGTTTGAATTACAATGTTTGAAATCTTCTTCAATTTAAAGCCGATAAGAAGTCATTATTCCAATAATAAACCGATAGCAATTATGGGAATCGGCAATTTTCAGTAAAAATTTGGCATTTTCTGCTTGGCATCGCTTTATTTTTTTACTTCTACCAGTATTAAAGAGCACTACAGCATGGCAATACATGACAAAACAAAAGGTATATACCAAGTAAGATAGTTTTGAAAATTCCTCAGACACATTCCATTCAAGTTACTTAAAGACAAAAATATTAAACTAAAATATGAAAATACACATGGAAATATGCGAGTTTTATACCTGGGCCCCATGCAGTAAATGGTGCTGGAATGTCGCCCCATCCGGACAATACCCAGGTACCTTCAGAGGCTTCATCTGTTGTTGCGGTAAACCAGGAGGTGGCGCTGCGAGCTGCAGGTAAATAACTGACATTTATTTGGGTGGCTTAGGGGAAATGTGGCCAAATTGTGAAAGCACCAAATTTTGCATGTGGTTACCTTCTGACATACTATGTCGAATTAGAGCCGTAGCCCTCTGATAAAATTTAACGATCGGTCAAAAAATTCCAAAATGGCCGTCAAAGCCTTGGATTCTATAGAAATTTAATTGTGACAACTGGTACCAACTTATATGAGACACTATCACTGTCTAAGTAGATTGCAAGATGATAACAATAAAATAAGCAAACGAAAACATTGAGTACTTTGCAAAGTTTAAGTACTTGTGGGTAACACATACCATTACCCACGACTGTACTGTTGTTGACGCCTATTTTGTTATAAATCACTGTGAAACGCACTAGTATACCGATGTCAGATGATGTTATATCATAAATTTCCCATACCTTCGTCGGTCATAATATATTGTCTAATAAAAGTGTGCTCCTCTTCATCGTCAACGGCGACAAGCCTCGCTCCCATTGACTCGCAGTGGGCTTTGGCCTGGTAGAAGTTGCCTTTCAGTGTCATGTTGAAACTGTAGCAACTTGTCCTGAACGTAACCTCAAATTGCGTTGGACACCTCACTTAAAGCACAAAAAGTGATAGAAATAATTTGATGTAATTAATATAATAAAATATAACGTGTCTTTTATTGCCCACGTATATGTAAACTAATTAATACCATAAATACGAATTCAATGATGGCAATCGAATCGATGGCAACGCAGTTCACTATTGGAAACGCTTGATGGGATATTAAACGTTGAGTCTTTAAAACCCATTATTGGAAATATAAACTTTATCTAGAATACGACTAGTATGTTTTTGGATATTACTTACGGTTACGTTCACAGTTTAATCCGCCGTAAGGGACAGGGCAGGCACATTTACCAGACCCCTCAGTTAATTGGATACAAGTCCCACCATTTTTACATCCACATTCCTGAAATAATATACCCTGTAGTATACAAGCATTGATGTGCTCCTTACTGCATTTACTGTGTCACCAATGTCAGTATTTTTATATCTTTTTATTAATCACTTATTGACATTATTTACCTTCCACTCCTACTCGCATTCTTACATTATATTCTTTATCTTATGATGTGTACTAATATCTATTTTGTTTAATAGATTATGTACAAATTCTCAGTGTTGTATTTTATTGACCAGTAAAAGAACGTCTTGGGACCACTTATTATTATTTTCATTAAATAGAGGTATTACTTCATCTCCATATTGACCAATATGTGCAATTTTCAACAGCTCTATCCGAGAAGGACATGTTCCTGCAATCTGGAAATCAGCTGATGTGGTTCCACTACCTAAAGTGCCACAACCTAAGTCAACTGAATGCGACGTCAGACCTATATCTTTGACACCAATTCTCAGCAAGGTTCTAGAATCTTTTATAGTAAAGTGGATTTGGGATTTTGTAATTATTGATAGAACGCAGTTCGGTGTTGTGCATGGCAGTTCCACAACACATGCCCTAGTAGAACTAATCCACTTATGGATGAGCGGTCTTGGGCCTTCACATAGAAGCAAGTCATTCCTCAGGATTCTTTTCCTTGACTTCTCAAAGTCCTTTGACCTAGTTGATCACAATATTCTCCTACGTAAACTTTACAACCTTGTCATCTGGATAAGATCTTTCCTTTGTGGTCGCTCTCAAAGAGTCAAATACAAAAACGTACTCTGTGACTGGCAGCACATTCACGGTGGCGTCCCTCAGGGAACATTGTTGGACCCCTTATTATTCATTAATTATCATGATAAATGACCTTAAGGCTAGCTGCCCAGACTACAAGTTCGTGGATGATACAACCGTGTTTGAGTTATGCGACTTTAATGCCTCTAGTAGATTACAACAGGCCGCAAATGAAATCATTGACTGGACAGAAAGAAACAATATGAGACTGAATGCTACCAAAACAAAAGCTATGACAGTAAACTTTACACAATCAGAGACAAAATGTCAGTCAGTTAATATTAGAGGAACTCATGTCAGTGAAGTATCCCAGTTCAAACTGTTGGATGTTTTTATCACTAACAAACTTAAATGGTCTGAACATGTTGATTTTATCTATAAAAAAGCATGCATACGATTGTTTTTTCTGTGCCAGCTTAAACGTGCTAAACTGTCATCATCTGATCTTGTTCATGTATATCAGAGTTTAATTCGGACCGTGGTTGAATATGGTTGTCCTGTGTGGCACCCTGGATTAACTGGAGAACAATGTAAAATAATAGAATCCATCCAGTCAAGGGCACTTAGGATCATTTTCCCTGAATTAACTTATGTTGATGCTCTAGCCAAAGCAAAACTTATTACATTAAAATCATTCTTTGCAAAAATACAAAATGACACAGACAAGCTGAACTACCTTTTAACCTGCAATCCACACAGGAGACTAAGAAATAGCCTGTCAAAGTTTAACATACCAAATATTAGAACTGAACGTTTTAAAAACACTTTTATTCCTTTCTCTTTGTTAAATCATTAGTGGTCTAACTTTTACTTTTAAAAATTATTTTGGCCTTTATTGCATTTAATTATCATTACTCCATCCTCTTTTACACTAACTTTCAGATGCCTGTGCAAAAATTTATTTTAATCATTTATTTTATCCTTTTTATCTCATTAAGTTCTGTTCGCATACCCTATATTATACCTGTAAATCATTATTTTAATTTGTAAATCTTTTCTCACTCCATTTTATGTATAACTTCAACCTTTTGGTTGCCATCTTTTAATAAACTTATTTACATATTTATTCATTTACATTTACAAGTCAGATGTTAACATTTCAAGTAATTTTCCTGGCACCAAATTACAGCACTTATATAGTTGTTAGTATGTAAAACGGTGCTGATAGCTGTTCAGTTGACTGATATTCCTATGAAATCGATATTACAATTTTCACACACACACACACTCAGAATACAAAAGGTTGCTGTAAAGGCAACAACTTGCATTAGCAAATTAATTCACTTTGATGTATTTTTGATGTGACAGTATTATTTCATAACATGGCAATATTTATTTCCGTACTTTAAAACGAATAAGGTAAACAATCTTTACATACATTCTATCGCACCGCCTGAACATTTTAAGGATATTGTCACCCTTCGGCCCAATATCCTTGTTTACTGCCCTTCATATAATAGGATATAATAGGATATAAATAGGATATAATAGGATATAAATAAGCAGATGTGAAAGTCTCTTTTTATCGTAATTAAGTTTTACTCTTTTCCAGCAAACACAAAACCTTTTCAACACATTTCAAACACGTTGTATTGTGTTCATAACATTATCAAAGTATTTTACCACAGTTAAAAATATCTTGGCAAAAAATGTCGATTCGTTTCTATTTTAATTATTTTATGAAAACTCTTAGTCAAAACACCTTTTCTGAAACATAGTAATTACATTATGAAATATTTTTTATCGTAAAATAGCTATTATTTAGATTAGTTAACGCAAGAAACGTTTAATCTAGTGTCTATGGAAAACCCCTTTGTTTAGCCTGGTTGACCTTGTAGAGCTATTGCGACGTAGGGGTTGAGTCTTATCATTATAGAATGTCCCGTGGGTTTTTTTTCTCTTTTTCATACCGTGCAATATTGAACTTACATCAAATAATTATTCCTGGATGCAGAACTGTTTATATTTAACCAGACTTCTACAAACTCAGCAAAAATCACTCTCGAATAAATAAATAGTTTTAGATAAACCTGTAGATTGCTTCAATATTAACATTCTAAGGAACGCGCTCGTTATTTCAGTTGACATAGGTGTCGTGAATAATATCAGTGTGTATACAGAGTCGATGATATTTAGCTAAAACTTTTCATGGTAAGCTACCTGTCAAAGCGAGACTGAGTGCTTGTTTGGTTATTTTCACGCGGTACTTTTTAAAGTGCATATTTCTCATGTCTTTTACAGTGCTGTTACAATCTTTAAAATATTTTCTACTATGACTTTTTCATTCTTTCCAAATCTTCTGTTTTAACAGACTTTGGGATAGTAACATTTGCAAGACTATTTCTAAAGGCATCAGCAATGAAACAAATCCTAAATACTAAATTTTTGAAGACATCCGTGAAAAACAAGATGTTTCATTACCAGTTGATGGTAATATCTATTAACATTAAATAACATATCCTAGGTGTAGATCGAGTTAAGATAAAATGCAACATTTTGTTTCGCTATGGATCATTCCTGATAAAATATAACTTACCAGACAAGCTGAGCGATTGCGTGCCTCTATGTAGGAGCAGTTTGGGTCACTCACCAGGAACTCCGTCTGAACGCCGGAACAGTTGAAATTGGTAAGAGCACAAGTCTTTGTGTTACCGCAGTAATATGCCCCTAGGCAGCTTCTATGCCCCAGACAGTGGAGTGCGCAGTGCCCTTTAGACATAGAAGATGTCGTCTGAAGAATTAAATCTTCAATAAATTTCGTCTGAGGCTGAACTCGAAACAATAAAGATGAAGAATTCGACGCGCCAAACCATATCATAAGCAGAGCATAATCTGCCAAAAGGACGGCCACAAATTTCTTCGTTGCCATCTTCAAATGGTTAACTGCTGTTTGGATCCTTCATTATCTTTTACGTGAAATGTTTTCACAGCATGCATTGAAACGCCTACCCTCGAGTCCGCAAGCTCTTTTTAAGTCATTGGTGTTTCGGTTGGCTTCACCTGAAGTCCTCAGTGAGAGATTAATCTGAAGCTTCTATTTTTGTGACACTGAAACGCTGCTTATCGTGTATTGCGCCACTGACAAAAATTAAAAATTGATACTGCACTTAATAAAGATTAATCCATTTACTGTAATTGTAATCTAATACCATCTCATCCTGTGTGTTTTTATAGTTTTTACTGATTGAATTGTCTGCCATTGGGTCTATCATATCTATCAGATGGTGTTATGAATATTTTATGTTTGCTATTGTCAGTTAAAGGAAATGTTACACTCTATTGCCAGTGCAAATCAGCATCAAGTACATGTAAAATGTATATACAAACGAGAAATTAGAATCAGGAAAAAAACGAAAAGCAAAAACAATACTGGAAAATTATCTGTATTGAAATCCCACTTTGGTTTCACAAATGTGCGTGCACAACTGTAAAAAAGGACACCCAAATACCTCTTCACGCCCATAACATGTTTTCGACAAAAAGTAACAACAAATTAGCAAAAATAATCTCGCTTTCAGTGACATAAAATCACCTTCGAGGTCTGTCGTGTCATAGACGTGCAACTTTTCCCTAGCCCTAAATAATCCCCGAAACGCTTTCGTCATTAAAAATATTTGCTCAATTATCGCGCGTGCAGCCCGCTGACAGCTCAACAGATTTCTCGTGTAACATTTATTAACTTTTTTAAAAAAAAATTTCGACTTACACTGGGTCCACGTTAATGTCTATAAAACTGAAAACTGAGATCACAACAAAAACAGGAAAGGTTTTTTAGGGTTTTAGGGACAGGAGCAACGGATTTCACCGCAGAAATAGATATCGCAAGCAATAAACTCCCCTTTACACTGGACGGCGTCCTTTCTGCGTCCTTTGTGCGACCATGAAACCAGCACGGCTGTGGTCGTCAAAAGGAGCCACAAGCATCTCTTTGCTTGCAGAATAAATGCTCAATGATCGGCCAATTGTCGGCAAGTAAAGTATTATGTTGCTTCTTTACTCTAAAATGAGGCGGTACTACGGTGTGCAGAAAGGTCGCCGTTTTGTGTTAAGGGGGCTTAATGGAGTGACGCTTGGAGAAGTTTGTAAATTTCCAAAAATAATCGGTCGACATCCTTACACATTCTGGGTGAGAGATAATATGGCTACTTTCATCTACACATAGAATTCTGTTTCATAGATGAGTTACAAATGCACTTTCTTTTCAAGAGAATTGAGAGCAAGTTGTGCCGAAGAATTTATAGCCATAACTGGTATCTACACAGTCACGATTTGAAGTGATTTCAAGGCTTTTTTTTTCGCAACTAAACCATGCACAGATTATCTGGGCACTGTCTCAGCATAATCGATTCTAGACAAAACTTTCAGCCCTTTCAGCTATTTCTCTTGAATGTATGTGATTATTCAACACAAGTATTGATTGCACTGTTTAAACTACAAGGCTTTAGAAATAAGTCAGCAATTATTGAGACTTAAAAGAATTAAAGCAATCAAAATAAGCACGTTCATGAGGGGCAGAGTTTTTTACGCTCAAGTAAAAAAATATGCGTGACAAGAAAAAAAGGCAGTTGAATCCAATTCAATCCTATTTAATCTCAACAGCCTTCAATTCACTGTATAATCTGATATTAATGACGTTGTGTAACGATTGCCTTTAATCCGGTCGAAAATCAAGTGGTTCAAATCGTTTGGTTAATCTAATAGAGATCAACTAATTTGACGTTTCAAGTGCCGGTGGACTTGTCGTAGGAGAGCGTTTCTCTGCATGAAGGTATTTTGGTTGTGTAGGGGATCGTTCCTAATAAAACGATCGTTCTACGCAGTTCGATCCAACTCCACGGGGACTCTCGCGATGAACAGATTAACACTGCTTCTTCTGAGTAGAGTAGAGAAAAGCTGGTGATTGTATATTCGTTGAAAACAAGGGGAAGCGTGTAAATCTGATTGCATTCCGCGAGTGTCCACGCTGAGTAAGATAGATCTACGCAGAACGATACCTTCATTGGTAATGGGCCCTAAGATAGCCGGGCCAATATGTGACGGAGGTTCGTGCAGAGGAGTTAACAAATTGAAAAAGGAGGAGGGCGAAGGGGAGGGGGTCACTAACTGGGAGGATAGCTGAAAGTAAGAATAGAAACTTAATGTCAGAAAAGTTTTTGTTAACAGAAGTTTCAGTTAAAATGGAGGTGAGAAAAGGGATGATTTTTCAAACACACACGCTTAAAGCACATTTATATGATTCTCATTATTGTGCATTTATAACTATATAACCTCCATGTATATTGTGAGATCATATCCGTTGTATCAAAATTTAGCTGTATCAGAGAAGAATTTCATCGGCTGTGTTATGATATAAGAATGAAGTAATTAATCTTCAGTCAACAATACTGAAATAGCTTTACCTCCAATATTTCGATGTCTAGCAGAATATCTTCATCAGGGAATTCCCTGTTGAAGATGTATTGTGTCAATAAAGAAACTAAATGAAATCATTTTTAACTTGAAACCAGAAAATCGCCTAGCGGAAATATTCATTGTGTTTTGCTTTGGTTGTCATGACTACGCAACGCTTACGGCCCAACCACTCCTGTGAAGATCGTGTCGGAATGCCTTATGAAGTGACGTTTTATCTCTCTCCTTAAATACCAACGACGTTGTTGCAGCCCACTTGACTTCTAAACACCAACATTTTGGACATATTTGAGATATTTGAACGTCCAAATTCTTTGTTTTTAAGATGAAGATGACCCGTTTACCAGTAAATTGCATAAGGAGATGGGTCATCGCTCTATTTTCTACGGTCAGAACTTGATTCAGACACATTTCTTTGGCAAAGAAATACTTTGGTACCAATAGAGCTAAAGTGCTTTTTGAAGAAACTAGTACTGAAAATACACCTATTTATTCAACAGTGTTAGTGTCATAGCTTACAGCACTGCGTTAGTAGGCTGAATAAAACTTTGATTTCAAAAAGAATGCACAAGGTGGCAGTTCATGTGATTAAAATGTCCCTATTATCCTACCTAATATCTTACGTCTCAACAAGGCCTGGTGTGTAATTCCCATGTGACTTACTAGGGAAATGGCGTGAAAGTGCGTTTCAAAGGGGTGCCAATTTTTTTTAAAAATTGTGTGTTACCGTTCAGTTAAGTCCTTTAAAGAACAAATGGCCGTAAACCTACCCATATGTACTGACAGTCAATGAAAACGCATCATTTATTTATTAAATAATATTTTAAGTTCCATTGGAACATTAAGATAATAACTATTTTCGTGTGAAATATGACCCATTATTCAGTCAAACAAGGTGACTCTCTTATAACCAAACAAGTGCATTTGTACTCGTTTATATGGTTGGAATCGATTCTCGGTAAAAAAAAAGTACAAGTTTTCTGATGCGTTTTCATTGACTGTCAGTATGCATTATAAACGAGCATGTAATCAGTTTAACTGACAGTTGAAAAATACTTCAATATTGCTTAAAACATACAGTTGGCTTCAGGGATTTTTACATTCATTCGACTTTCTCTTCTTTTCCTAATTATTCTCACACCTTGTACTTACACATATGTTGGACACACACAAAAAAAAACATGTCTTTTATTGAAACAAGAAATGAGTTCATAAAAACCGTTGCTGGCTCCTAAAGAAAAATGCATCGTGAAGCGGTTGCCAGAAAGATACGAGAAACAAAAACACGGTTGTTAAAAGAAAGAAGGAAGGAAGGAAGGAAGGAAGGAAAAATTAAGTGTGAATTTAAGTGAAAATTCGAAAATTGAAAAGATTGTGCTACGGTAAGAAAAAATAGAAAGCCAAAAGAAAGAAGGAGAAATCTTGTGTTCGGCTACAATAAATGAATGAATGAATAAATGAAGAAAAAACGTAGAAAAACGCCCAAAGACCCATTTCCTCCATCATTTTGTAATTTTGTAAATTTTCTTCTCGGTTTCAGTGACACGACGACCTCTGGCTAACATACGTGCTGTTGAATCACTATTTGTTTATTTCAGCGCCATCGAAACGATAAACTACTTGAGATATCTTTCATCGCGAATTAATCCAAGCCTAATTTATCACGAAACGGAAGCGGGTATATAAAAAGTCCCACTCCAGTCGCTGATTACACTTTTCGATACCAGTAATAGGGTTAGGTAATTGAAGGGGGCGACTGATGAGTCTCCAAGGGTGTTTTATTGAAACAGGAGCTCTATAAGGGAACGCCGGTCTCTCAATTCTTGTGTTACATTGTTAATATTTTCGTCACTTGGCAAAGGCTGTGGTTGAGGAAAAACAGTTATCGGGAAAGAGATCTAGAAGAGGTGGATTGTAACGGTGATAGTTTTAGTAGAACTTGAGTAAGGCGTTAGGAGAAGGCGTGAAGATAACAGAGCTGCAGTTGAAGTTGACCAAACCAAAGATTTCAGATAAACTGACTGAGGATGGCACAAAGATTAAGTGTGGGCTTACTGATGTTGGCCACTACGATCTTCGCTTCACCGCTGGTGAGTTTATTTTTCTGTATTTTATCTCTCGGTAATGAATTATGAAAGCACAGAGAAAATTATTTATCCGTGGCAAAAAAAAAACTTGAAATGGCACTCTTCTGTTTAGTTTGAAGATTTTTTTATCAAACTGAAAAAACTGTCAAACCGATATTTTAAATTTGTTTTGTTCTTATATTTTTTATATCTTATTTCTATTCCATTACTTTAACCTTCAGTCTTTCTTTCTTTCATTCATTTTTTTTTTTCATTATTGGACTAAACTGTGTGTTTGGAAATAAAACAAATAACAGGATGTTTATGTTTTAAGTGGTATGAAAGCGAGTGGCTTTTAAAAGAGTCATTCTTTATGAAAGGCTTTCTAAAAGGCATATCTTTAAAAGGCAATTTCACGGAATAAATCATGTTTAAGTTAGATAACTA